CCCCAAAACCCCAAAACCCCAAAACCCCATCATTAGATATCAGCAGAGTATAAGGAGAGATTAAAACTTAAGTAAATATAAAGTTAGAATGTATTCAAATAAAGGCATGATGATTGCAAAAAGACGCCTAATATTAAAATCTATTACACTTATTTTCATTTTTTCCTTACCTCACTGTTCTATCTTGTAGATTAAGTGAGTTGATCACTAAAAGTATTATGATTATCCTTTAAAGTCTTCATTCCGCTTCCTCTATGTTCACGAACATTATTATTAGTAGGTTAATCATTATCATCGTCATCTAAAAGATCAATTTCATATTCAACAGGCTAGAACTCAACATAATTGTTAGGAGCATCATCATTAGATTCAAGATAAGTTATATCATCCAAATCTATATCCACATTGTTACCATTATGCTTTAAGTCTAATAATCCAGAGCTTCCAGATAGTGGAGGCTATGATGATTACCTTGGCACATCAACGTTTTTAGATGAAGTTGATGATTTATCAAGAATAACTTTAGATTCTTGTTTTTCTGGAGAGTTCAATATGCCTGCTCTTATGACTCTGTATTAGCCTTTCTTTGGATCTGGTAATAGCTCCTCAATATTAGCTCTCTATTATTTAACCAGTTCAAGCTCAGAATACTATTCATAAAATCTTGCAACATCAGCAAAACCTCCTCCAACTCTGATAAGACATTATCCATTACTAATTTTGGCATAAATTCTCTTGGTGCCAAAAATATAGTTGTTTGGTGAAATCTTTCTTATTAGAATATCACTTTTTTTCAGTTCCAAGTACTCAAAGAGCATTCGATCAACTTCATCTTCAAATTTCTTAATTACTTTTATAATTTTTGGAGGAGGAGGTACTGGAATTGGTACCTTATCAATTTTGATAGTTATCATTTTTGCTTCAAGAGGTAAATGTTCAAGCTCAATTGCAAAATTTTTGAATTTAGTAATAGATCTTTCAAATTCAAGCATATCATCTTCAGGATCAAACTTATTTTTGTTGACTAGATTTAAAATGGAAGCATATATACCCTTTAGTCTGCCTAATTCTTTTCTAAGATTGGAATAAGTTTCTAAATCTTCTGCTGACATATACTATTTATTAGTCGTTAGTTTCTCAACGATTGGTCCTAGCCTTTTAAGTTATCTGTCTACTTTTGCGGCAGATATATTCATTTAAGCCTAGAATACATCTCTCTTTAGCCTAAGACATTCAGCAGCAACACTTCTTTATTTATGTACAAGATCAGCTGTTGCCGCGATATTATAACCATTTTCCTTTTCATTTTATCTAAATTTAACTAAATCCTCCTTTGTTATAAGTAGTTTTTTACCAAGAATTTTTAACCTCTATGAGAATTCATCATATGAATCAGAGTATTGCTGCTGATCCATTTTATTTTACTAGTTATCATTTTTCTCGAAATCCTTTACCTAATAAAACGTATCATTAAATCTCTTGTCAATATCTTTTTACATTTCTTCAAAATGCATCTCTTTATATCTCTCGATAGTCTTTATTGACCTTTTCTTTAGCTTTTTAAAAACTCTTTTGCACCCTGCTCTAAGACTTTGAATACCTTCCACAAAAAGATGCTACTCCTTAACATAGTTTGGGTCTTTAAAATTTTTTGACATTACAATAGGTCTTACTTCTTCTGCCGTTTAGATATCTCTAAGCATTTGAGAGACCATATTTGATAATTAATTATAGTTTGTGAGAAAATCTTGAAGGATCGACATATGATAGTTGATGTATGATTTCTAGAAATTTATATTACCGCTAATTCCATCTTAAACCAAATATACCACTTGATTGACATTTTCAGTAATTTATTAAAGTCCTTATCTAATTTTGGGGCAATCTTCTTGTAGTTCATTTAGAGAGTCATCAAAGTCATCAATATAATCTGCAGTATCCTTATAAGCCATAAATAATTTGAACTCCTACTTGAATTCCTCATCAATATCATATAGGCTTGCAGAGATTGTGCTAACTTTTTATTCAAGTTCTTCCATTAAGCTGTAAAGTAAATCAAGTTCATTTTCCTCGTCTTATTCATTGATTTTATTGAATCACTATTTGATCTCTTCTTTTATTTAAGCTTCTTTCTTCACCCTCTCTAGTAAAGCTGATCCTGATTTATAGCAAGCATCCTATTAATCAATAAAATTCATGTGGTATTACTAGAAATTGAAGTTTATCTTAGACAAAACTAACAGTGCCTGATTTTACAATTTAAGCTTTTTCTCTAGCTTTTCCAACAGCTTAGTCAATAAACTCAGTTAATTTATCATTTTAAACCTTCAATTTGTTTTCCAACATTTTCAGTTGAGAATTCATTGCGCTCAAAAGTTTCTCTATTGATATTAGCTTAAAATAATGATTACCTTGCTTATTCTTTGGACCTCTTTTCGTTCGAGTGTGAATAATAGTTGGTTCAATTTTCTCACTTGAACCAGTATCCTCTTAGGGTCTTGAACACATTGCTCCCATTTTATAAATATTTCAATAAGTGTACCTTAAATAATTTCTGATATAATTTTATGAATATTGTTTTAATACAGATTAAAGTGTGATGGGGTTTTGGGGTTTTGGGGTTTTGGGG